GCTTCTGAGGATAATTGAATTGAATAAAACTAGTTATGAAAGAAAACTGAGGGTTACATTGATAACAAAATTATGTATCCATCTTTACTGCAATTTGATAGTTTCTTTTAAATGTTAGATTAATGAAATTTGCTTTCAATTAATTACTCTGTTGCAATAACAAATCGGATAGCCCACCATAACATGTCGAGTTAATTAAACTTTACTTTTAAATTTCAATGAACATAATTGGTGCCGTTCGAAGAAATTAAATCGACAACGTTATCGCTGATAACTATTTTAAGATTACTTATTTATTTTGTATGTAAGAATTCCTGTTCACTGAAGGAAATACACTAGAGAGTTCCACTTAAGTTTTTTCGTACACAGAGTAACCTCCTCTTAGTTCTATTTTTTGACATACTGTAAACTGGGACATTAATTATTTTATGATAAACTCACAACCATCACGGAAGGCGAAAAATGCAAAAATTAAACTGCAGCGAAAATCTTCTGGCATGCAGTAATTTTAGCTCGATTGGGCTGGAGAACAGTGATGGGGGGTCACAAGTCCTAATCGTGGTGTTGAACATTGCGTTTTTACACACAGAACACTATTGCTGATTTTTTTTAAACGTTTCCACGTTTCAAAAAAGTCCAACAAAGTATTTTTTCAGAAATGATATGTCAAAGCTATGTGCATGTTAGAAACAGTTTCCAATGCGTAGTGTTTGGCAGTGGTATGGGGTTCCTTAAAGCGTTCCACAGTATTTTAACCTTGGTGAGCTGATAGTCCTGAGTTCGATCCATGGCAGCGGCGTCAACATGTGTCAGACCATTAAGTTGATTCTGAACATTTCTTTTTAGATATCGTTTATTTCGAAGCGAATTCGGGGAAATATGTCGCTTGTCTGTTTTTTTCAGTTTGTGTTAATGTGTTTAATAAGATGAAAATGAAACAGCATTAGGAGAGATATACCTGAGACTTTGAAACTATTATTGAAAACGAATGCTGAAAATGCCGTCGAAACGTCATTTTTCTTCGACAGTATCTATAAAATGTGTACATGTATGTTGAATTTAAAATTTGCCAGCATACTTCTAAATTTTGAAATCTATAAACTAACGGGTTTTACTCACCTTCTCTTCTGTTTTTAAAGTAGTTCCGATCAATTCAGATTTCCAAAGCGTTGGTCCCTAGCATCACCGGTAAGTCCTACACTGTACAAGTACGAAACAGCTGTATGATGCAGTGTGATGTTTGGCATACTGTATCTATTACCAAGATACAATCACCTGTGTTTGTGTGTGTTACGTTCATATCTAGAGTCGTAAACTTATTGTTACTCGTTCTTTTCAAATAAAGTTAATGAATTAAATGCTTTGTGTTTTTATGAAACAGCTCTGTAACAGTAATGCTGGGAGTAATGACTTGTGGAAATATGTTGTGTTTCCATGAGAAATTGTCTAAAAGGAGTCTACAAAAGTGGAATGGACAGTATAGTGCAAGGCACTTACGTTTCTACGAGAATGTAACATCTATAATCATAAAAGTCGAGCCGTTATATAGCGTTTTGATGTCTTTTCTCATAGACGTCTTAGACGTTTTGTAACGTTCATACGGAAGGTGCTGAAAAGAGCTATGCACTTCCAGACTCTATGCGGTCACCAAATATAATCCCCGCTGATTGGTACTGCAACTGAATAGACGACATGTATTGCCACAAACGAAATGAAAAAACTTTAAAATAAATATCTCATAATTAAAGTTTTAGACTTTAAGCATTTTCAGAAATAATTGTTTACGTGTTCGCTTGATTTTGACGCCTGTATAACGCATAGCATATTTCTGGTTTTAAACCGAAATGGTGAGAAAAAATAGTCATTTTTTTCTTTTTCAAGTCTTCGATAATTGATTCTTTATCATTTAGTGTTGTAATTGATTTATTATTAGTTAGGTCAAAATCTGAAGAAAGTGATGCCTGGTCTTTAAGTTACAAGTAATTTATTGACCACAACGATCGTAAGTCTCATGAACTTGAAACCAACGGCATACCGACTCATCTATATCTACTGCTTCATTCAATCTTTTCTTACAACATGAACAACGGGGACTGCTTACAATTTCAGCAATATGCGGAGAGTAACGAATTCAATTTTTTCTATTGTGGACTTCCTCTTTTTTTATAGTAACATTTTCGTTTCCCTCACATATGGTGTTTACAAGTCAACGTTGATTCAAAATTCAAACGTTTCCCCTAGATATCACGATTTCTGTGATACGTGTTTATTTCGAATGCTGACATACACACTTACTACTCAGGATAGGAAGATATGCAGGTTGATAATGGTATGAGTGAGTTTTATTGTTGCCAAAACACACTGAGAGGAGGTAAAAGATAAACTTATTGGAAATAGTTTTAACGTTTGATATATAGGATTTATAAATAAGACTTTTAATGTGTAACACTCTTGTACCAAAATGCAATCTGAATCTAAAATAGATGTCGATTATTTATAATTTCAAGAAGTTAACATTTGTTTCAACACAATTTCAAACTCGATTACAATACAAAACAGCTCTGAAATTCAGTTAGCTATTTTATTTTCTGGTAAAAATTGAGATAAAAGACATCTGGTCTTCTTATCTTACTTAATGGGTCTAGCATTCCCTTCGCGTGAAATGTAATGTTAAAAAATTAGGGTCACACATATCCGGTTCAGGGTTATGCTGCGGTACTAAAGAAGCGCTGCGTGTAGGATTTATTGATATGAGCTAAGGTAAATGTTGTCATCAGCACCTGAATTCTCCTAATTCTGTGTAATATCACCCTATATTTCATGACGATCATTACGAGAAAATGTCAGGATAATACTCCTGGCTCTGAGGGAATAGAACGAAGTGGTGGTAACGACCCATATAATGTTTAATATAGGATATTGCTTTTCTATGAGTTATTTACATCGCTCTATATCCAGTCTTGCAATACAGAGCAGTGCATGACTGTCTCCTGTTCTTTCATTGAACATAGTGCTAATAAAAAAATAAAATAAAAACAAGGTCGTAGGTTCGATCCCTACAGACAGCGGGATGTTGTTTTGTCCTTGAGCAAGACACTTGACCTTTATTGCTCAACTCCACCTGAGTGAGATGTGAAGTGTATTGTATATGACGGTCTCTGTTCTGCAATATTCCAATGGTATGTTTCTACAGAATTGAGCCGTTTGAAATACAGACCTATGACAAGTAGAACACTTCGAAGACACCATACGCCTATCAAACAAAGGATCGGCCAAAATTAACTGTTTTCTGCCTTATATGAAGTAACTATTAGTGTAATATAAGGACGATGGAATGCTGTTGTTCTTTATTTATAATGATAATAATAATTTGAGGTTCTTATATACCGCTTTATCACAACCTAGGTACTAGGTCGTCTCAAAGCGGTTCACAAATTAGTATCCGTTGTTATAGGGCCTTTGTAACCAGCATATATCTCTCAGAGAGCATACAGCCGGTGCTGCCATTTCGGCGCTCACAGCTAGCATTCAACAATTCCAGCACTGCCCAGCCACGTACTCATTTACGGATGTGTTTGCTGGAACAAGCGGAGTAAAGTATCTTGTTCAAGGATACAACACAGTGCCGTGACGTGACTCGAACCGCAACCCTTAGGTCACGAGTCCGGCTTCCTACCACTAGACTACCGTGCCTTATAAAAGGCCTTAAATAGTTATATCATCATGTTATATCTTCATGTAAATTAAATTTCCTAGTATGATGTCGCATGTGATTTCAACTACGAAACTAACATTAGGAGCACATATGTATCTGATTAATCGAAAATTATGTTCTTTTTTTATATAAACTCTCAGCTTAAACTGAAGTCCTACCTCGAGTTCACTTGGTAGCTTTACCGGATTATAAATTATCGCATAATCAGTTACTAATTTCAGAATATATCTTGTATGCTATAATCATTTTATACAACATGTGCATGATGTCTCAATGAGTTAAAAAGGAAATTGATCTTAGGCGCTTAACGTTTAAGGAATGACAAATGCATATTCAACACAAACAAGAGATAATTGGAACAGTCTTACTTGAACCAAATTAGGTCACTGTTATATACTTTGGGAAAAAAATCTACATCATTAGAAACTGTCTTTGGGTAATAGAAATGACCTTAGAAGTGTTGTTTCACCAAATTAGGTCACTGTGATCAACTTTTGAAAAACGCAGTTTACCAAGGGATTTCTCGTAAAAGCTCAATACCTGTGAGGGTCTGCGTTTGTGTAATGAAAGTTGTTGATGTGTTTTGTCAACGGATCTCCAAACATCTCCCTGAAATAAAATATCCTGCTTCTGTTTTTCTCCCTGGAAGACGATATCTTACGTCTGGAAATCGTTCTGAAATTGGAAGACAGTATTGGTTCAGACATTCTTTAGAAATGTGATACAATTACAATAACTATTTTCAGAAAATATGAATCTAATTAAAACAGGATATTGAACTTCTCTTTTTTCACTGCAGAAACAAATCATGTCTGGAAATCTTCCTCAATCCGAGAATGTCTTTGTTTTATAGATGTATGTAGTGTAGTGTTTCATTGCCAATTTGCCTGAGCTGGGTTTATTTAATCAATGTCGTCTGCTCGATGAGATAAACAAAAGGATAAATCCAAATTCAAATTCAAAAAATATGTTTACCTATCGAAAATAAGCAAAACCGCATAAAACTAAGAAATTTCTAACAAAAATTTCCTGATGACAAAATAATAGTTTCATGCAGGTATGAACGCAAATCGGTTACAGATATATGCCGTGAAGCCCGACAAATTGCGTCAATGGCTCTATAAACGCAATTTCTTCTGGTTATGCCTATAGTGGAACTTGCAGCGAAAATGAAAATCTATTACATTACGATACATTACCAATATTTATAAAAATGTTGATGCGTTTACGCCATTGATATCTGACCTAACCTTCAAAAGTAACTCTTCCCTTTTGTTTATTACAGTTGATCAAGATGATGGCGACGGTTGTGATATTCTACGCTCTGTGCTGGCTTCCTCTGCACGTAGTGACATTGGTTGGAGAACAAGATCCCACTATTTACAACAGTCCTCATATGCCGGTAGTATGGGTCTTTTGTCACTGGCTTGCCATGAGCAACAGCTGTTATAACCCAATAATCTACATCTATATGAGCCCAAAGTTCAGGACAGGACTAAAATTAGCCGTGCAGAAATGTGCCCGGATGAGGAAGCAGTCGATGAATTGTGATTCTGATGACGACGACACGCAGGTCAAAGGTCAACATAAACAAATGATTCTGAAAATGGAATTAAAACCATCGAAATCGTGCCCTCTCAAAGGGCGAAATGGAAATTGTCAGTTGATGTTTGAAAAAATATTATCGGAGGAATACATGATGCCAGCCAGTATCCATAGTGACACGTGACGCATGTGGAATGTAGAATTAACCTGTGTGTATTTGTGTGGATAGATGAGTACTTGATAAATGGTAAGAAATATTTAGACAATACTGTATCCAGGATTATTTTCGTGATAACATAATTTTCGATGTAATGTGACGTTGTACGACAAAAAACTTTTAATCAATTTAATCAAGTAACATTATCCTCGTAATAGTCTCTCAACCGCCAGTTCGACACTGCGCCAAGTTGCACTTTTCTATTTAAACGCAAAAAACAGCTCTGCACAAAATGGAAATGTTTAGAGTATTCGAATGGCTAAGGACCAATATACATTTGTACTTTAAAAGTAAAAAATAGAAATTTCGTATTTCTCTTTATCTAATGGCAGTGCGTCCTGACCGTTTCCATATGAATTAAAATAAAGTAAGGTATATGAATGTAAAAAATGATTCATATCGTACAAAACACAGAATTACAGTTTTATATTTTTGTGGAAATATATATATTATATAAACATTTGTGTATACATTTGTATAATAGGAATTATATTTTAATACAAAGTAATATCGGTTCGACAAGCTACATCGTACATTAGCATTTAATACTACACATATCTGATGTACAATATGAGCGTAGAGTGACATACATTTCACGTTGATTATTTCTATTCTATTTTTCATGGTTTATATAGCATAATACAAAGACTAGAAGGGCCTTATTATCAGTTTCAAAAAAAATGTGATCTTTAAAAGTCAAAATATTTGCAGAATAGAAGAACTCCTGTTATTACGTTAAGCAAATTCCCACAGAAACATCCACACGCAAATATTTTTGTCGATAACATATATTATAGTTATATAGATGATAATGATATATAATAATATTTCTACACTGCGATCAGCCAAAAGACTCACAGCCCGAACATTTCCACTTTCATATATAATTATACATGTAATTTGTAATTAATCAAATTAACGATAGAATCTTTTATATACTTCTTTTGGATCATGATTAAAAAACATATAAATCCAGATTGTTTACTGCCTATTTCTGATGAAACTGATATTGCATGATACTTCAGTGAGTGTAAGTCCGTGTACAATTAAAATACCAGACCTACCTTTCAAATTCAGTCATTATAATATAATGTTATTATAATCGTTCATTTTTCTTCAAACTTTGAAAAAAAACAAGGTTCGAAAACGCTTCGTTCCGAATGCACAAATATCGTGTATTACACAATAGCTTAATTAGTATAGTGCTTCAAGCGGACAGAATTGACGTTAATTATTCTGGTTGATTAACACTGTGCATTTAATCCCCAGGGCCCGTATTCATGAAACCGTGCTCATGCTCAAGCATAGATTTTGTGCTCAAGCTTAATATCTTGTAACGTATATAGATAAATAAAAAAGGATATTTTGTCAAGGATTTTGAAATATTTTGAAGCGACTAAGAGCCGAATACGGGTTTCAATGTTTACATTTGACTTTTTGATCGTTTGACGTGGTTTAAGCCAGTTACAAGAAAGTTGGTTCGAAAACAGAATCCATGCTTGAGGAATAAGAACGGTTTCCTAAATACGGGCCCTGTGATATTTTTTAACCAAATCGAAGACACGCGGTAAGCTGTTTTATTGGTTTCAGAGGAAACAAACTGACCAATCATTAGGCTGATACCTGCCCTGTAAACAATACAAAGGTGTTTCACTCGACTACTCAAATGCCAGTCATTTTTACCGTTATGCTGCTGCACGATTCTTTGGTAAACGTCAAAGGATCAAACTAGTTACTTGTATCAATTACAGGTTGGCGGTAACAGAGAGATTATGTTGTTCACGGAGCCTTTGGATTTCAAAGGATTAAGTACGATGTATTCTAATCCACACATATCTTCCTTTGCTTTCGCCCTTATCAATGATTTTATTGTATAGACAAGTATACCCACACGTGACTCGCTCAACTTATTATTATTCGTACGTCCATGCAATACATCACTCGTGTTATTACATATCAACAATAGTGTTATTGTTCTTCATATGTGTAACCAATAGAAGCATTTTTAAGGAATTTTTGTTAACGAACTTCATCAAAAAATAAGTTCCCAAAATGTGTTATGGAGTGTGATATTAATGCTGTTAAATAATTCTTTGACAAGGGAAGAGTTTTTGCGTCGTTATAAGCAAGAGTTGAGAAAAATATGGAGCCTTATTAACATGTTCTTGTAATGATTACTGAAGACATGGCGCTTATGGTAGAGTCTCGCATATGTTTTCTTTTTAATACAGGCATTGAGCAGATATTTAATTGATAAATTATTGACATTTTCTTTCTTTATTCATACGAAATCATTATTATAGAATGCTGGGTCACCATGGCCATTTTAAGGAGTTTGTATTCCAAGTAGTTTTGATTACCGTAGCGCCGTGGATAAGCTCCTTTAATTTTAATTCATTATACAATGTAGAAGAGATATTTTTTTCTGAAAAAAGGAAATAATTATGAATACATAATTCTTTGGTCAGGTATAGCTCTTCATAGTATACGTGTCCATGGGCAAGTCACTTCAAGTTAGAAAACACCCAACATGTTGCAGTTCGAACTATTTGCGTTGGAAATACGAAAAAGAGCGCTGGAACTCTCTGCATAAGCGATCAAAAATCTAAATAAAGAGGGCCGATACACATTGCTCTTATTGGAATTTATGTTATGTCAACTAAATTTTAAGAAAAACAGTATTCGTTAGGATTATTTAAGGATTTTTTCCCGTGAAATACAATTGGAGAATGTAGTTATAAGAATATTTCTTATATAACGGGTATTGGGAAAAATCAAAACACATTCAATGCACGTAGGAGAAAACGAAGGTTCAAGTTGAGGTAATTGGTATATATTTCGATAAGGAAAAAATCATTTACAATGTTATGGTAACTTAAAAATTGATTACAACTGAATACAACGGTGAGTACAACGCGAGGTTGGTAAAACTCATCACAACGAATAAAGTTGATGAACAAATATACCAAGATATGTGGTAGGAAATAAATTACACTACAACAATAAATGGATTGTGTTAATTTTTGTTTGCCAAATAAATTAAGTCTTACTTTTGTTTGTTTAGGTGACAACGCTATATCGTTGTAAGTAACGATACAACGTACATGAGTACATGCGATGTAACTTGTTTTGTAAATTTATGGAAAGATGTATCAAAGCGATCCGGGAACAGAGGAAATTCTTTGAAAATACACCCCCAACAGTGTAAAAATATGAAGAGGAAAAACATTTTATTACTATGAACTGTAAATCTGTGAAATAACTTACCGGGAAATGCAGTATGTACTAATAATCAAAACTGTTTCAAACATATACTGGGATAAACACTGATTTACATGTATTGTATAACTTCAAAGCTAGATTATTATAACAGTTAGTATGTATTGCGACAGGTATAGCGGATACGAAATCCTGTACCAGAAATCTATCATCAAACGTCCCTGTCCCACTGTATTACCGTTTTTCCTCTGTACAATAACCTCTACTTAACATCCGTTTGGATATAACTATAGCACATTTGGGATAATATTATTCCGTTGACCAGGTACATGTAGCTCAATCGGTTACAGCGATGATAAAACAATCTGAAAGCCGGAAATTGAATCCCGGTTCCGCTGATTCCTGTACACACAGAACACTCTTGTTGGTTATGTTTTGTTCGCTTCAACTTTATTAGTTTGCATTAAAATCCCACAAGGTATGGTTTTCTTTTCAGAAATGATTTATTAAAGATATGGTCATGCTGGAAAAAAATTACCTAGAGTTTTCGGCCGAGGCACTTGGATCCTTAAATATATTTAAAATGGTTGAAACAACGGAAATGTACCGGATCGTCAATATACAGGACAAGCGCCGAACTCGATTTGGAAACAAAAACAGGAGGAACTCATGAGACACTGAAATATGAAGATCAAACGCCAAAACCATATTTCGAGAGGAAGGATTGTTTTCTATCCACAACACACAAGAGAGAACGTTGTTGTTGTTGTTGTTGTTGTTGTTTGTGTTCCTCTATATTGTCCTACCTTAAAGATTACTCCAATGGGGAACCAAATGCATCCGGCTATCATCATGGTCAAATGAAACGTGACAAAATCAATGACCTAATTCTCTTGTGAAATATGATTGCGTTGCACAAATTGACGACCCGATGGAGACGTTCTCAGAAGAATTGCTCGTGCGTGCGAGCTGCCTTTCCCTAGGTAGGTAAAGGCAGATTTATCTTTTCCCTGAAACAAACGATAATAGAAACTTAAGTCTGGAAGAAATTGATGTCATCGCTCTATTATCACAAACATACGGTTTATCTGATGTTTAGAAGTCCTTGAAAAGTCATCACTCTAAAATCGTTTTGAACACGGAATTTCCAAATAAACTATCAATATTTTATTAAATGTACGTTTTAAATTCAAATGTTAAATGCATTACTATCCAAAAGTAAGTTAAATGTTAATTTCCCACATTCTCGACAAGGGACTCAGATCTAAACTACAATGTAATTTCGACTTTTTTTAAGTTTTCTGCATTGAATGTCTCTATACTAGCTTCTTATTTGTATCCATTTTTTTTTTTTTTAAATCCGCTAGGAACAGACTCAGTGAATTAGTGATACGTTGGTTCACGGCATGGAAAACCCTCAATCAGGTTAAAAAATACACGCATGAAAGTTCAGAGATTTCTCTGTATAAATTACGTAAGAGAATGCTGCTAGCAATACCCAGTGGAGTGACACACGTTGCCAAATGGGTTTTGAAGTCATTACATTAAAGTAAAAGCATCATAACACGGATATTTTGAACTATTACAATCTTTTACCTGTAACTGGGCGACATCGGGTTATCTTGGGCTAAGATTCTGTAACATTATTCCAACCGAGACGTAAGCCGAGGTTGGGATGCGTCAGAATCTTTGCCGGAAACTGAGATAGCCCGATCTTGTTCGGTACAGGTAATCGATTTTGTTTCTCGCACCTTTAAGTTGGAAAAAAACTCGTAAGTTTTGCTAAAGACTGCAAGTAATTCGTCTTGGGCTTCAAATAAATATGGCTTCTACACTACTTAAGCTACATTTGAATACTTCCGCGTAAAAGTATAATCCTTCCTCACAAAGAAGACAACGTATTTCACAGTGTAGATTAAATTTTATCTACAACATCAGATATTTAACTACATTATGTTGTAAATATTGTACATTTTATGTCGACCACATGTGAGACGAGTCATTGACTCAATGTGTTATCGAAATTAAATAAAGTCTATTATTATTATTATCATTATTATTATTATGTACATCAAAACAATAAATACAAATGTATAACGACAAGACAGAATATGTATAATTCAGATTGTCAGTTTGGAGCCGTTAACGCGGGGATAAATACGTCGCTCTGTAAAATAATTCAGCGAATTGTCACGTTAAGGTTCCAGACAGATCGGAGGAGGAAGAACAATTTGGCATTGGGTATGACGTGTGATAT